AAAAAGTTGTAAGTAAAGTAGTAAACCTAACCATCATTAGAAATACATTTCCAGATAATTCGTTTATTATGCAGCTTTCAGGCTCCAATCTAAAAGAAGGTGTACTCAACTGTACAAGACAGCCAGGCTCATAATCCTGGTTGTACTGCTAACTAGTGGTGATTTTAGAGCCTAAACTTCAGGGTGTCTATGACTGGAGTCATACATATAAACTTGTCATCAAGAGGGAGCCATATAAAGGCCAGCACACTAGATGATGGGATTGCTGATAAAAGTATATGTAAAGTATAAAAGTATTCAAGTATTCAAGTACTCTGTGTCATGTCAGCGAGTGTTTTTTTTCTCTCAACCAAGACCAATATTGATATTTGAGAGTTTAAAAACCCAATAATGAATAACTCAGCAGAAAGTATTTTTTTATATAAACACACAACAATCATTTTAATAAGGAGCAATTAAATTAGATTTAGCAAGCAGGTTGGTGCTCTATGGAGGACAAGCCATGTAATATTCCTCTTAAACATATTTTGGATTTTCTGTGCTTACACTTTTTATTTGTGACTGAACAGACCCTCCAACAATCAAATCTCTGACAAAAACTCACCTTTTTAAAATTGCTTTTAATGTTTAGCTTAGTCTGATGTGTTTTTAGTGTTTTACTATTTGATGTTGTTTTGCTGCTTTTATGTTTTTATGTAAAGTGTCTTTGAGTATTTTAGAAAAGCGCTTATAAATAAAATGTATTATTATTATTATTATTATTATTATTATTATTATTATTAACTTATTGACGTACATATATACTGATACTAATAATATCGCTAATATCAGCTAATATATTGATGTGGCCGATCTGTTCTCAGCACTAGGTTCTGCCACCAATTACCATTACGATTACCAGCCAAAATATTGTTCAACCTGCCATAACACTCCATAACATAAAATGTCATTAAATACTCTCCTCACCCTCTTCTCTGTAATCTGCGGTTAGTGTGAAATTGTTCTCCGTGGTACCAGTGGTACTGTTAATCGAGCCGGGTTTTCTTAAATCCGGAGAACAAGATTTGTAGACCAGGGCTTCTCTGCAGCAGTACAGTACTGTATTGTTTGCGATTGGCCCATTGTGGTTTCGATAATATTTTGATTCATTGTGCAGCCATAAATTGCACCACTGGTAGTCAAAAACTCCACAGGGTGCCTTTAAGAAGACAAAGTCACATCATACAGTGTATGAACAAGAAACTGTATGTATTAATCTTTTTTTTTCAACACTAAAAATGCATCTGACTTATTAAATATTAGCAACTGATTTAATCAAATTAAGTCTATTAAATCATGACTGAGCTCTTTTGTTGGGGGCTTTGAATGTTTCACTTAACTTTGTATTAAAATGTGTTAACACCACTGGCTACAGCCATCATTTCACCGGCCAATATTCCATCTGAATTAGAGTCATCGGTATACATCAATGATTTAACCTGACCAAATAAACCAACAGAGCAACTAGTCTACATTAATTAGCCCATGTACTGTTTTACACCCTGTTTTAAAATCTATATTTAGGACCTGTGAATTTCAAACTACTAAACTCTAAAGGATGAGTGTGTGTGACTTTAAATAGTTGCAGGGATTATTCTGACAAAGCAGGAGCTCTCTCTTCTAATCTCCAGCCACTCTTTGATGTCTACCTTGCATATGGATCAGAAGACAGCTCTGGCAATGAAAAACTATCCATCCTTACCGTTCCACCAGTATCTGCATCTACGACAGCTAAAGGAGGGGAAAACAAGAAGATGGGTCTGCCCCCTCAGGTCAAAGGACACAGGGGGTTGAGACACAACACAGGCTCAGGTTGGAGGACGGCGTTTGAAGTAAAAAAAAACATGCAGGCATGTTAGGCAGGTACATCAACAGGAAGGCTGCTTTAGTACAGCTCACTATCAAGCCCTCTGAAATACTATCTCATACAAAATCAATGAACACAGCTTTACACTGCTGGGAGAGCTAGATAACTACAGCAGAAACCCGTGTAAGCCAAGTCCACGCAAGAGCCTGTGCTTATTTGGGCCAACACCATGCACGTGTCAGCCTATTTCTCTATCAGTATGGCATGATATTCTCTTATTTTTCTTATTCATGAGAGTTATTAAAGTAGGGACAGAAATAGAGAGGACGCCCGCAAGGGAGGCTTTAGTCTGGTCTTCATCATTTCTGCTAGATGGCATAAAAAATGTGAAAGAAATAATGAAGCATTGAGTTGAAGTGAAAGACCAATCTTTAGGTACCAGTCTTTCAAAGTGCCACACGGTTCAAACAACATACTGATACACTGACCGTGATAGGCAACGGGTTTAACATAACGGTGGAATCCAAAAACCATCGAGCCAGACATATTTATTATGGTATGAACAATAACAACAACAATAAAAGAATGAGAATAAAATCTGAAATTTATAAAAAAATGTTTTATCCAATCTCCAAAACAGCTGTGATGCTGCGTATGCTAACTGTACTAGCTGCTGCCACTAGCTCGTTAGCAGTCCTACTAGCTGTCTGTACCCAAACAGGGAGCTTAAAGGAGTTTAAGAGCGGGTGACCCAGCAGGTACAGAGCAATGGAACCGGAGCATGGCTGACCAACAGAGGCCAGCTGATTTATGGAAGCATGAAACAGAGGAAGAGGAGCACGTTTGTAGTAGGTTCGTTTGTAAGTAACTGGTAACTTCATCCATCACCCATGGTATCAATAAGTCTACCAGTATTTGTTTCAGTGAAGTTGGAAGTTATTTATTCTGTGCTTTGAACAATGAGACTGTGTGATGTTACCCTTGGTAGAAATGAATGAACTAAAGGTTGTTCTGACACATTCACAATCATTTCCACTTTTTCTGTTAGCAATTAACAGGCCGCTGTTCAGGTGGTTACGATTAGGCTTAACAACTCATTGGGCCATATAGCATAGCATAGCATTTTTTTAAGCGCCTCGGAACAAGTTCAACTTTAACCAAGCTGTACTACTTAAGTTAGGGTTAGGGCACCTCTGTCTTCTTTAAACTACAGGAGGAAAATGCTAGCAGCAGCCTAGTTAAAGGACAATTCCGGCGCAAAATGAACATGGGGTTAATAACACGTGTACCAAGTTCGTCCGTTCTCTGGGATGTTTTCATAATAATCCGCCGTCTCTTCAGTGTGTGTCCTGTGGAAGTTCAGTGCTTCTCTTATGCGCTCAGTGCTTTCTTCCGGCAACAACGTTTCATGCGAGATTCACTTCACATCTCAGAGAGTTCGACTGGTCGCGTGACTGTTTTCCCAAGATGGTGCCCGCCTGTATACGTGAACGCTACTGTTGTTCTAAACTATCTTTTTAATAAACTGTCTGTACACTTACAAAGTTCTCAATGCTTCGGTTTACAGGTAGGGGCCCTCATTATGCTACCCTGTAAGTGTGGTGCTATTTTGAGCCTTGTTAGTGGTATAGAAATAGCTTTCTTTTTACGTTACTCTGTGCCCCGTTGACTAGCGTTATAAGGTAATTAGCGGTTTGTGCTAAAACCGGTCACGGTCGATTAGCATGAAAACATATCCCAGAGAACAGACCAACTCGGTACACATGTGTTATTAACCCCAGGTTCATTTTGCGCCGGAATTGTCCTTTAACTAGGGGTGTAAGAAAATATCCATACACTTGAGTATTGCAATATTTTGTTTGGGATATTGTATCGATTCTCAAAAACACTGAATGGACTTTTGTTTTTAAACTCCCAACCACTACACAGTAGTCAAAGTCAACTGAGGGCTATGATGTTGGATGTTGTAGGGACTGTGATACAAAGCAGAACCCACTGTGCTAGTTCTTACTCAGGTTTTATGCATATGGTGGGGTGTTCTTTATGACAGTTTTCCAATAGACTGAATCATAACCCCTGTATCAGAATAATGGCAGTGCCTATCTGTAATAGCCAGAGCAGATGGGACTAAGTGTGACATTCCACCCTCCTAACATGTCAAGTCTACTTGATGACTGTTTTGGTTGTGGTAATATTTTAAGACGGTAAAATGCTGTCTTTTTATAAGTTCTTATTCATCATTACACACAACCTTCATCCCACAGAACAACACAGAGTGATCCAGGAGCAACCCTTACACGAAGAGCACCAGCAGATGATTGGATTAGTTAACTTATACTAGCAGATAGTGTCCTTACAGTAGAAAAATAACTGTAAAATTAGGCATATCCCAAGTAAAATAGAGAGCACAAAGCCTGAGAGGCTCCAACTAAGCAACACAAAAGCATTCAGTGTATTGTACTATAAATACATTTTGCTTTGTCAGATTCGTTTTACGGCAGTTTTTCCCTTCGCCCCTTTACAATTTAGTATTAAAAAAGAAAATGAGACGCAATTTCATAAACACTATTTGCACTATTAGCTTTGCTTTGCATTTTCAAAATAACAAAGAATACTGCTGTAGTTTAAAGCTGAACAATGAAGACATTTTTGTAATTTTGTAAATCTGGTTCTGGCTAAAACCATATTTACTATTAGTACTGTTGACTCTTCCGTCTGTTAACACACCAGTATTGTTGAAAAAACTTCCCATGCCACAGCCAGAACCAGAAATACATCACCAGAAAAATGGCAACGAGCATGAATACGATTTTGTCGCTGTGTGTTTTAAGCCGATTTGAAGAAATAACAGCACACTTAAATCAGCACATTTCCTCAGTCATCATTAAAAACATACTCCTGGCAACCATTACTGCAGCTTCTGTGTTGACTGAAAATGACGATGAAGGGACACATAAGTGACTCGCTACTGATTGGTAAGGGCAAAAAAAGTGAAAAGAATAAATAACCTCTAGAAGTTAGTCATTCTTTGTCTGCATAGTTCAGATTAATCTCAGTTTTTTATTTGCTTTTATGAACATATAAATATATCTGGTATTCATGACAAGTAGAGTTTGTGTTACCCTGGAGATGACCTGCCATGGGGTTGTCTCACCTGGTGGGTAGCCAGTCCTATCAGGTGGGATGGCGAGCAGGGAGTCGACAATGGCCACCCTTTGCTGGAGGAGAGTGGAGATCATCTCCAGCCCCTCTGGGCCCAGCAGCTCGAACAGCTGGAGGGACAGAGTGGAAGGGAGGGGGTGAAAATTCAGTAGCCACAAGCCAAAAACACAGATATCTACAGCGGCAGCAGGAAGCGTACCACCACACGCACATCCAAACATGTACTATATACATTCTATGGCTCACCAACACCGCCCAAACACGCTGCTACTTGGCAGGCTGAGCACCTGGTAATTACCATCCGCCTGGTACGGAATATGCTCTGCAGCTTAGCCTCCCAAACATAGCCACCTGGCACTTAGCAAGTGACAGAAAAACAACAACAAGAAATCCTGTGCACAGCAGCAGCGGCATTAAAAGCATAGTGAAGACAGGGCTGCAGAGACACTCATCAATATCATTGTGAGGCAGAAGTGGGAGTAATGATAAAGTTTAGGATTTCTAATTGGAAAATAGTAGACCTGAGGACCTGGGGTATGTCATTTGAACCTGTACAACAATGTGGGGCTGTTTTCTCTCTCCTTTCAGGGTTGGTTTCAGGATGGAGGTATGGCTTGCTCTTTCAGTCTGTCCTCCCTTGGGGAGGCAATAGTCAGCACAGCAGGGAACTAAAACAACAGACGCACTTTGATGTCAGGTCAGCCATCGTCTTTGTTGGGGTTATCTTTGTTTCCCTCTGTGGTCTCTTTTATATCTGTTCTAAATTTCTATTGGTCCCTGTGAATGTCTCTGTTTTATTAGACTTGAGTGTACGGTATGTCGGATTGGGAGGTGGTGGGGTGGGCTGGCGTTTCACCTGCTCAAAGGGATTTTTTTTTATGAACTCATGAATTCCGTCCTTGCAGTTGACTGATTAGGTGTGGGTTCCGCTGGGACTGAGGCAGAGTTTCTCCTTCAGATGGACTCTCTACAGTCCACCATCCTGCAGGCAAGCTCAGTTCCAAAGCATTAACTGTGTAATAACTCCACATGTGCAAAGCTACAGGTCAGGAGTGTAAATGCCTGTGTCCTTCTCCTGTGTCCCCTTCTATCTGTGATTAAATATTCAGCCTTGCTGCTCAATGTTTCAGCCGGTAAATGGAACAACTACAGCATTGTTTGAACTGAGTCACCACCAGGCAAGGCTGTATTTCTCCTGAGATAAATTCAATACAAAAAATGCAAGATTAGATTTAGATTCATTTTAAGCAGTCAAATATTCTAAGTATTGCCATGTGATGACTCTGGCCAATGTTTGTGAAAAGAAATATTAAGGCATAAATACATGCATAAATAACATAGTAGATTAAAAGAGAGCATGAGACTGGCAGCTGCCGGTGCATCTGGCTTCGACCAAGATGACACGTGTGCAACGCAAGGCGTCTCTCCAGACTCTGTGAATTCCTATTTGTTTGAAGTCTGTTCACTCAGAACAGACTTGCTTCCATATTAAAAAGCCAAAGATTGAATTTCAAAACTCTTTAGGGCGGCAGTAGCTCAGTGTGTAGGGACTTGGCTTGGAAAACCGGTTCAAGTCCCCCAGATCATAGTATGGAGTGTGGACTGGTAGCTGGAGTGGTGCCAGTTTTACCTCCTGCCGAGATGCCCTTGAGCAAGGCAACTAACCCCAAAACTTGACTGTGTGCATTTCAGCCTGCGTGTGTATAAAAATAAAAAGAAAGAGTGAAAAGAAAATGTATCCATAGGGGATTAATAAAGTAAATCTTAAATCTAAACTCACACAACTCACTCAACTTACTCACACTGCCAGCTTCAAGTTTCTGAGTGTCCACATCTCAGAGGATCTCTCTTAGACCCTCAACACTTAGACCCTGTCAAGAAGGCAGACAAGTGTCTCTCCTTGCAGGTGAGACTAAAGAAGTCCATCTGTCTCCTCAGATTCAGGCCAATGTCTATCGCTGCACCATCAAGAGTATCCTTACCAACTGCATCACAGTATGGTATGGAAACTGCTCTGTCTTGGGCTGCATAGGGTGGTGAGAACTGCCTAATGCATCACCAGTACTCAACTCCCCACCATTAAGGCTGTCTAGCAAAAGCAGGGTCTGCGCAGCATTGTCAGGGACACCTCTCACCTAGGCCGCAAACTGTTTGCCTACCTCCCCTCTGAGAGGTGCTGAAGGACAGCAGACTCAGGAACACCATCCTCCCCTCAGCTGTCACCTTGCTGAACTGCACCTAGGGATGGGAATCGAGAACCGGTTCCAGTTGAGAACCAATCCATCAGAATAATATGCCTTGGACCTTATCATGATTCCTTTTATCGATGCCAGCATGTTTTCCTGCAGTGCGAGACAATGACGTCAAACTGAAGTGCCTACGCTGCTGGAAACTTGCAGCAAGAAGGTGTCATGGCAGAGAGGCAGGAGGAACTACTATAACTGTTCTCTTTTTCTAAACTGTATTAAGACTTAAACAAAACAGTTGCACTGATGCTGAAAACCTGCTTAAGCCTACTTTTTTTCCCATACACAAAACTGATAAGGAATCAATAAGGGAATTGCTTAAAAATTTGGACCGATAAGCACAAACGATAATGGCATTGGTTTCAAAAAAATCCGTATCAATTTCCATCCCTATGTGTACCTCAGCGATAGCCCCCGCCCCTCGCCTCCTACACATCTTCCTCCAGTGACCAGATATTTTCTATTTCACACCTCCCCGGAACACCAATCACCACCCACCTACCTCTGGTGATTGAACATTTGCACTAGGACTGTATGCTTTTCACAAACCCATACAAACTACTACCATTCATACTACTACCATTCATACTCTGTTCATGCTGTAGATCTCTCACCCATAGCGTATTCATATACCACCAGTACTATCCTGATGGATGCATCTGGCTTTAGTGAGCTGGTGAGCTGGTCTGGAGCCAGCCTTTTGTACTGTTAAAGATGCCTTTGTGTACAGGATAACTAATCAGAGTCTGTTTTGAGGTAGTGAACATGTGCAAAGCAATGTGTTTGTGGTAACTCTTCTAGCTGAAGAAATCCTGTTCCAATAGGTTCCTAGTCCAAGCTCACATTTAACAACTCACTGTAGTTTTACTATCAATAACATGAGGATACTTGAACATGCACTGTGAAACTGCCCTCCCGTTGAGCTACTGTATATAACCAAATGAATTTCCACTGTACCACCTCCTCCCAGAACTTGCCGACTACGATGAAATGTCAGCAATGAGAAATAATAAGAAGCAGGTTCTCTCCATTGTCAGCTTTAATGGCACTGAGTGCAGAGCCTTTAAACTTTACTGTTGACTTTGGAGTCACACAGAGGTGGATGCATGGAAAGACTGCATGTGCACACGCGCTCTCTCTCTCTCTCTCTCTCTCTCCCACACACACACAGGGTGTTCTACATCTAAAGATGTCAGTGGGAGAGTTCGCTTCGAAATGTCAACTACGTGAGAAACATTGGAACTAACTGTAACCAGCTGAAGTTGTACAATTCTGCTTCTGTGGCGAAGCAATTGATAGAAAGGGGAGAGAGAGAGAGAGAGGTGCTGCAGAGGAGCTATATGGAGAATATAAAAGCCTCAGAGTATGAGGGAGGCAGAGAATGGTAGTGGGTGAAAATGCAAGGGGACAGAATGATGGAGCACTTTCCTAATTCCTAAGTAAATGTAAAGGATGGCAAATAACTGCTGGAGGTTTCAACATGGTGTGATACAACAGAGGCCTTCAGTGAACACCCAGATCCCGACCTTTATTCTATATCCTATCACTTCACACAGGAAGATGTGGAAGAAGACCAAAACAGTAGGGGTAGTATCTGTTTAACCTCTCTTAGCTGTACTGTTACACCAGCTCAATGCAATCTGAAACTTCACCGCTAGATGCCACTGAATCCTACACATAGGACTGCCAGATTCATATTGCAATTTAGCGGCCTTTGGACATAAGTGACTCTTCTGGCACACCTGAAACTAGCGTCCCCTTTTCTATTCATTGAATCAAAAAACAAACAAATAAATAGATATCTATTAGAGCTGGGGCATGCCTTACATTGATAGTTGACATAGGAGTTTTTTTTCAGATGTATAACATGATATAACATTTATAAAGGCATGTTTACATAACAGCGAACATGAACAAGATGTCACATTGAAAATCTTTACATAAAATACAAACTTCACTTGACCTCAGGTTTTTATGTGTACATGTTGAGTTGCTAAAATTTCCAAAGGGTCTTTATTACCAAAGAAGGTCAAAGCTATGCAGAAAGTTGGAAATGTCTAAAAAGGTCTGGAGGTAAAGGCCAAGGATAACTTGGTGTAACAGCCAGGACATGATAAATCCAGCATCTGGATCAAACCCAAAAGGCCTGCTGTTGAAGGTCAAGGTTATACAATCAATAGGACAGGTCAAACCTCATGTCACAGAAATACCAAGTTGGCAGTAGATTCCTCGTTTTTAAGTTCAAGTTCAAATTGACTTCTAAAAAAACAACAATAAAAAAAGTGTGTTGAAGATTGTTTGGGGCAGATGCTATGCAGGTGTGCTGAACTATTGATTTAACTACTGTAGTTTATTGTTTTGTTGTCAAGAGGAATGCCTCAAAGTAACTTTGAACTTTGAACCTTGAATATCTATAGATAGGGAGTGTGCATGTGTGTGTCTATGGATGTGTATGTGTATGTGTGTGTATGTATGAGTATGAGTATGAGTATGAGTATGTGTATGTGTATGTGGCACAGCTCTCTCCCAGATTCACTATCCAATCTACAAACCTGCTCCAAGCCACTCACCTGCAACCCATCCACTAATCAACAGCAGTATATCAACCCCGGTACTTCAACCACTCTTGCCAGATCGCTGTAGCACCCACAGTGGTAGTCTGCATTTCTGGCACCTCGCATTGTGTATTCAAGTGTTTTATTTAGATTCTCTGATTGTTGGTGACTCTGTGCCCTAGGATCACCTGCCCGCCAGTATCTCTGCCGTGCTCACTTTGAGCCTTTGCCTTCTGTTCTTCCTCACCAACTACAGCTCAAGGCTCCCCTCATCCCTGGCCTGCATCCACATTCTTTCCCCTGAATAAATTATTTCTTGATTATTCACTTCCTGAGTCTGTGTCTGCATTTGGGTTCCTCCTTGTTGAGTATCCCAGTAGCATATGATAATATTGTATTGCCAAGGGTCTTGGGTCAGCATCAGGTAGGTTGTCTGTCTGTCTGTCTGTCTGTCTGTCTGTCTCTCTGTCTGTCTCTCTCTCTGTCTCTCTCTCTCTCTCTCTCTCTCTCTCTCTCTCTCTCTCTCTCTCTCTCCCTCCCTCCCTCCCCTCCCTCCCTCCCTCCCTCTCTCCCTCTCTCTCTCTCCCTCTCTCTCTCTCTCTCCCTCTCTCTCTCTCTCTCTCTCTCTCTCTCTCTCTCCCTCTCTCTCTCTCTCCCTCTCTCTCTCTCTCCCTCTCCCTCTCCCTCTCCCTCTCTCTCCCTCCCCCTCCCCCAACTGGTCGAGACAGACGACCACCCACCTAGAGCCGAAGGGTCTGTCCTAGGTTTCTGCCTTTTAACAGGCAGTTTTTCCTTGCCGCTGTCACCAAGGTCTTGCTCATGGTGGTACTGTTGGGTCTCTGTAAATAATGTTATAAAGAGTTCGGTCTAGACCTGCTCTATTTGAAAAGTGTCCTGAGATAACTTCTGTTATGAATTGGCGCTATACAAATAAAATTGAATTGAATTGAATTGAATTGTCCACAGGTCCGGATCAAGTACTAACTAACACTCCTGTGTAGGAGCAGTCTAGAAGTAAGTGAACAGAAAAGACAGAACACCCTGCTTTAAGCACCCATCTAATACAGCACATGACACAGTCTCAGCTATTCTGACACTAAAATCACTTGCATGTCCAAGCAGGTCGCCCTGGACATACCTAGTTCCTGTTGTGTAATGTGCTCATAGGCTGAACCTGAGAGTCGGCTGTCCTTTCTACTGGGGACGAGGGAACATGTCCACCTTAAAAAATAGTACCTTTGCCTCCCAGCTCTTTTACAGTTTATATTTGATTTAGCCATATAAGGACTAAATGAACAAGGTGCTTGCGGATCTGTTTTGCCTTACTTCCTTAAAGGACGCTGATATGTCCGTAGCCACTTCGGCCACAAATGCATAGATTAAAGCCTGGGAAGATGGATTTTGTGATCTCCGGCTGCCTCGCAAGGTTAACATAGGCAGCCCGAGAAGAAGATTTGTAGACACTACTCACAGCTGACGAAAAAAAACACAACTTTCTCTGAATGTTTTACGATTACAGAAAAAATAAAATAAAAACAATCCATCAGAATCGTAGGTCTCTAAATGAAACAGGTAGTGAGCTGCACTAACCAAATTTTAGCCTGTTTAACCTGTGTAAAAGGATTCCCAAGAACAATTTATCAACAACAATTTAGATACTGTAATTCCCAGTGACACAAACCTCATTCTGCAGCTCATCGTCACTCTTGTGGGAGGCCAGCATTTCAAACAGGGAGGTGCACAGCTCCTCTGGGCTGGATGAGATCATGTTGCCTCCGTTCAGATACTTCTCCACCTCTCCTCTAAGGATGGTTCCATCCCCAGAGCTCACAGATCTTCCTGAGCTGGACACGTCAGCACCCATCTTTCTTCCGCTCTGCTGGTTGTTGAGGAAGTTGATGAAGTCCAGGCTCACTTTCTCCTCATGGATGCCAGAGCAGGGCAGGTCCTCCAGTGGGTCCAGTGTGTAGCAGTCATATGAGAAGGCAATGTTGCGTCCAAAAGTGGAGCCTCGTTGGGGGTTGTGACGGGAGCTCTGGGTCTGGATAAAGTCCTCAACGCGAGACTCTCCGAGTGAAGCCACCAGCTGAGCCACACAGGAGCAGGAGGCTTCAGCTGCAGATGAAGGAAAGGGACCAAACATCTGTTTGATGGCCCGGGTCTCCTCTGTGCCCACATGGTCTTTGTTGTGGAAGGTTTCAAACAGAAAGATGGCTGCACTTTCAATGGCCTCCTGACCATGTTCCGTTCCCACTGTAAAACAAAACACAACATATTTACACTTTGATGTCATGAGCGCAGGGTTTACTGCAGCAGAAGCAGATCCAGTAAATCGGTGCCCCTAGCAATCCCACACATGGAGCCTCCCTAACGGCTGTTTCTCACCTGCTCTATAATCAAGAATGTTGCTATAAAGCAGTGGTGGAAGAAGAAATCAGTTCTTTTACTTAGTGGTGGAAATAAGTACACTTATTCCATATACAGAATATTTTGAGGTACTGGTACTTTACTGGAGTATTTCCATTTTATGCTACACTATACTTGTACTCCACAACATTTCAGAGGGAAATTTGTGCTTCATACCACTGTTAAAAACTATGACAAAAAATATTTGTTGACGGCCTATTTCTTATAACCAAAATGAGACTAAAACGAAATAAAAACCTCTGAAAACAAAAACTATAATAAAATTGAAATGTATTACATTTTTTGTTGTTAAATAAAAAACTAATAATGTAAAAGAAAAAAAGAATGGAAAATTGAACTAATCACTGTATTTAAAGCAGTCTTACTCTACAGCCAGACTGCATCTAACGTAGCATGAACTGGAACGTCTCCTTGATGAACTCAAGCAATTAGATAACTAAAGCTCTCAATGTATACAGCACACTGTGTTTCCACAGATGATCACACCACAGAAAACGTGTCCAAGATTTGGGATCATTTTAAGCTGAAACAAAACGAAAACTCTGTACAGTGTGTCTGTGGTAAAACTGAACTAGCTTAGCACAACAGCACAACGTCAGTGCTTCATTGTGAAAAGCTAGCTAGCAGCTTTTTTCTGGAAAAATTTAATCTAAAGAGAAGATGCAATCCATCATCTGATTGGGTGCGGCTATATTTGGCTATTTATCTTGACTTATAGCTGCTAACTAGCTAGCATCAAGAAAAAGAAGATAATGCAGCAACTTAGATAAACAGGGACTTTATTTCTTTTCTGTGGCAGCATCATAACACAGCTTTCAGTAACTATTTTACAATCAACACACACACACACACACACACACACACACACACACACACACACACACACACACACACACACACACACACACACACACACACACACACACACACACACACACACACACACAATACTTTCACAAGCAACCCGCTAGACTCCACCTTAAAGGGGAGGGCTCAGCCGGTAACACACAGGTACAGTAAGGCTGTAACAAGAACAACACAATAGTCACAATGATTCCTATTTTCAGGTGATTATACACTAATGAAAACAAACCTATGAATATTAGATTCCATTCCTAAAAATAGATCCTGTTAAATGTTACACACTGGACCTTTAAGTAAGCAAACATACTAATACCTCACTTTGAAAATACTCCACTAGAAGTACAGTGGCGGTTGCAACAGAAGCCTTTCTCCCTGCTGCTGGAAAAAATCCAAGAGGAAACTCTTATTTTCTCTTTTGTATAATTACTATTGCTCTGTAATAAAGCAAAAGTATTTCTAATTTGATTAATCAAATACTCAACGGAATAATCGGCAGAATAATACTGTACCCTCCGCCACTCAAATACATCTCTTGCACAGAAGTTGATTTAGCCACCTGACCTACCGTTATTAAGAAGCATTTTGTACTCAGTAACATTATGCCCCTGCAATGTTAATGTTATCTCGAGTATCAGTTCTTGGAAGAAACAGATTGAGGGATTTAATCTACTAATCTACAATCCACTGAGAATTAGACAAGAAGACACAACACAACAGCTGGGACAAACTACCCAAACATGCAGGTATATATGTGTAATATCACAATACATCCATAGCTATTAGGTGTCCTCTTTGCTGGGGGGCCCAGTCAGTTGCCTAACTTGCCTAATGGTAAAATTCCAACTGAAGGCACAATTAAAGCTGATGACTTATGATTTTAATGATGAGGATTATTAGGCCTGCTGCAACAATCACCTTCACCTTTCCTATTATCATCAGCGGTATCTAGACAGCAGAGCTGTTTTTTATGGCCATTAAATCTGAGCTTTGCACTATTCATAGCTCCAAAAGAAGGATCAGCAGCTGTTCCTCTGAGCGGTAAAGGCTACAGCATGAGCTCACTGTTTAAGGTCCTTGCGCCTCATTTAAATAATATTCCAAACAATTCATGCTTAACCAGAGCTGCACTTAACAAAAAGGAATACAAAGTAATTGTCCAATTAGAGGGAAAAAAATGTCAGGGGCACAGAAGAAGAAGGTTGAAGAGGCAGAGGAAAGTGAAAACAGATGAAAAGGATTTAAACCAATTAAAATAAGCGTCAGACTCGTTGCTGCACGTAGCAGAGCAGAATGGCTGCTTTCATCCTCTCCAGAGAGTGCTTAAGAGCAACTTTTCATTTGGATCCAGTCACACTGGCTGAGGGCAGGTTCAACACATAAAGCATTGGAGGAGAGCATCACAACAACAAATACTGTCGAGTGAGGAGGAAAAAAATACTGCCATGAACACAGAGAAAAGCAAACTGAAGTAAAATCATCACTGGCTTTCATGAGAGAGCTCCAAAATTGACTCGTGAAGTTCAGCTAACACTTGAAGTCATAGAGGGAGGATTACAGCATGTACAGCAAGCTGTCAAACACCTGTTTCTATCTCTGGAGTAAATCTGGTATATTTTCACCTGTTTGGTAGCATTTTCAAATGAGATCATACTCATTTATCTCTTTACTTTTCCAGGACTTTAAATAAACATTTATGAGCTAATTATATGGACATCCAGTCTGCGCCACTAGGCTCTATACAGTCGTCCATTCAAATTTCTAATGACAGAGGAATATGCATTCTCCTGCCTCAGATCAGCTTTTTATTAATTCCAGTGTGTATTAAAGACAGCAACCACTAACGATTGACAGACTGTACACAGCAAATGAAAAATGTTTACTTTTTGATTTGAGAGGGGGCAGGTCACAGGACTGGGTTACAGCCACAGAGTGTAAAACTGGATGTAGACTCTGTGACGTCACCCATAGGTTTCTGCAGAGCCGCTGGGTGGCATGGGTGGAGCTGAGGCAGTCTGAATGTAGCTTGGTTACTGAAACCAGCCGCCTGTGACAGCACCCGCCTGTCACTCAAAGTGACCATGCCCTTAACTTGCAAAACTTAAAGCTTATATAATTTAAATGGATGAGTTCTATAAAAATCCCAACACCCATACAGTTGTCATGAATGGGGAAATTAGCTATAGAGCCTAAAGGTGTTCTTTGTACCAGGCTGTAAACATGTTTATTTCTGCTGTAGTTGGACATTTTATGGAGATTGACTCACTGCTGGAGCCTCAAGTGGCTCTTAAAGGAACGGCAGGTTTTTATTACTTCTATGTTGATTTCAGTTGCTAGCCATGGTGGTTTCTGCTTGGTTGCACCGGGTACTCACTACGTTTGTGTGTCATGACCTTCAAAATTTCTTAGTAACAACTCGCTGGTTTCAAACAAGTGATTCACCTTATTAGAAGTTGTTAGGAAACGTCCGTAGTGCCAATGAAACACATCAATTATGTAAACAGAAAGTCATTGGAGCAAGCTGCAGCATGACTTCCAAAAGTAGGAGCATTAGAGGGCCGAGTAATATTAAATATTAATATTAAACTTAATTGCTGATCCTTTGTAAATGTAAGTACCTCTGCCACCCTCTGCATCTTATATACAGAGGCACAAGGTACCCTTTAGCATCATGTCATCAGTGTCAACTCCAATGTAACCCATCTGTGTCAGGTAACAGTGTATCGGGCGACAAACTGCGCATATGGAGGTGGCTGGGGTGGATGGATTGGTTCATAGGGATCTACATACAACATGGCACAGCAATGTGCTATGATCATTCACCTGTGCTTTTCCTGCTACTGTAAGTCAACATGTCTGCTGTGAGAAAGGTCTTCAGTGAGTTCATTTATGGAATCCAACCAGAAATGGGATTCATGCAATAGTTTCTTCAAGGAGCTGTCCCAGCTTTGACTAATATTCCCTAAACTCTTAATCCACCATATACAGTACACTGCACTGCGGCTGGACTGTCTTTTCTGTAAGAATTATCTGTAAGCCTTCCGTACTTCAGACCTCCACCTCAGCATTTTGAAATAAATTCATTGACTTCAGAACACTGGGGCAGACAATTCTGTGGCAAGGGTTCAGATTTTCAATTATGAGTCCCAATTCCACATTTTCAGACATTGAAATGGATTGTTTATTTAGCACGATGAATTGATCATGTTCTTTGTTATCAGCCAAAATTGTTCCTTGGCACATTGGTTGTAAGCTTTACGTATCCCTTTTTTAATTATTATTAAACACATGTATGAGCATAAAATACCTGTCATGATGGCAAGAGTGACGGCAGTTGTCCTACTTTTGTTATCATTACATGTTGCTACTTCTCTTAACAGCAGGTCACTCAAAGGTAGTATTTATATGGAATATCAGAATATCGACTACCACCGTTTTTTTTCATGCCCCCATCAGCGTGTAGAGCCAGAATATTTTCACATCTAACTCGGTAAGATGGTTAGACTCCACAAGTGTTGGAACAGCGGGAAGACCAAGACGGTTTTAGTTAGTTTTATTGTTTCTGTCAAGTTTGAGGTGTGTTTTACGAGGAGTTGTCAAAGCAATAAAGCTTAGTTTGGTAAAATAGAGAAACTTGAATTCAGAAGGTGTACAGCTGTATTTTTCAGTGTAATATGTGCTCGTCATGCAGTTAGTTTGAATTGTCCAGGTATTGAGATGTCCGTCTCTGAGACTTCTGCCTCCAATACAGTGAGGGTTAATTTGGTATGTGCACTGAAATACAACATTTAAAAAATTCTAAAGCAATATCTCTTGAAGAAACAATGTCCTTGTTAATCTGCATAATCCACAGACATCCCTCAACAGCGACAACATAGGGACGATTTCTTTGGAAGACAGTTTTGGTACAGAATCTTTTATGTCATGAATGAGGCAGAAATGTCAGACACCTTGAAAACAGGGAATAAATGATCTTAACTATGTGCCAAGTAAAGAATTTTTTTTTTTTGTAATTTAGGTAAACTGCCCTTTTAACTGGATTTATGAAAGCCTGACAAAGGTTGAACTTTAAACTCCCAATGACTTCTAAGCAAAGGCACAGAAACAATAAGATCATTTCTGGTAAGTGTACCATAATCCCTTTTAAACAAGCAGTCTGAAAACAGAAGACGGCATTCTGTTATTTTTGAACAGTGTCTTCATCACAAACACAACACAAACATGTGAAAATAGATTGAAATAAATTACAATGGATTTGAGGCTGAGGAGTTAATTACCAATCTGTTTGGCTGCCAGAAGGAGGCTCTTCAGTTCCTGACTGGCAGCTTGCTGCTTAGCTTTGTCCTGATGCTCACTGCAGAAATGGACAATCTTCTGCCACGTCAGGCCCTCTCTGGCAAACAGCTCCCGTCTCTTCAGTCGTTTGGTCTAACGTGAGTCACAGGGAGAAATACAAGAAACCATTTAGAGAAAGAGGATAGTAGAAGAGAATAGTACTCACTGCTCTGATCATTTGTATTTCCTTTCATTTGTTTATTTATAAGGACAAGGCACATAAACATTTCTGTAAATGTGTTAGCCAGCTCCAAGCTTCAAAAACATGTGATACTACTTTTCAAGTTATTATTTCTTATAGCATCCTTTCATCATTCAAGTCTTTTGAACTCTACACCCCTGTGGCTTTCTTTCTTCCATCAGGGTTATTCTCTCAGACTCCACAAAGCTCCGGAGCATGGACAGGCCTGGAGAGATCACCAGTCGATCAGGGGTCAGGGCTGACACATACACCCCATTTACACCTGGTACTGAAATGTGATCTGTATCCGGACAGGATCCCATCTCGCCTTTGCATTTACACCTGGTATTTTGATGCATTCTGTGTTTCATGCGTTATCCTCACTCTGTCCTCCAGAGCAATATCTACTCAAGTAATCTGAGTGGCAGAAAATCAGCCCCAGTCTCCCTTCAAATATCACAGAATTTTGAGAGTTGTTGTGTTAGGGGTGACTTTATAAACTTTGTGAAATGCTGTCTATGACAAATTCTTAAGTATTTGTCCCCTCCTGTGAATTCAAAGTTATTCCTATATTTGTATAAATATTGTCAGTTTGTTGCAGTACCAGAGTATAGGCTACTCTGTGACTCCATAAATGAAATGCCTTGTTAACAGCATATCCATCACACTCAGTTATTTCTTACTGTATATCTTGCTTTCATTTTTCACACAGTATAATATTAATTAATAATAATTGAATAACATCTTCTGGCACTTTCATGGCACAAAACAGAACCATAAACAGCAGTTAGAGGCGTGTCTCTTTCTGCCTTCTCACTGCTCACTCTCTAAATTTGAACAACATGGATTTTATGTGAGCTAATAATAACAAAATCCATATCAGTTATGTTGTGTACAGAATCTTTTTGATTTAAAATTCTGCTATCCTTGATACCTCAAAGGTGGTTTAATAGTGTAGGTACACATGCATCCTCAGTAGTTGTGGTAGTAGTTGTAGGAAAGTCAGTGTTAAGAGAGCAGTGAGGTATTAAATCTGAGCAGGTGTGACAGTTCAGGCTCAGAGGTCAGGAGCAGCATTAACGCAATGACTCTGTCACAATCAGTTACAATCAGGATCTCTAGGTTTTCTAAAAACTAAGCATTTTAACACAAGCTGGCAGATAATCTCAGTGACTCCAGCCATCTTTTTCCCTGAAGAAGCACTTTTTCTGCTTTTCTGGATTTAACTGGAGGTGAACCAGGTAAAAGTGAAGGGCTGAATACCGTTCACAATTTCATTTCTGGGGTAAGAAAGAGGCAACCGATCTGAGAAACAAATCACTGACACGGAGTGAAAATATGGCAGATTTCGAGATGGTATAATGGTTGTCAAGGATGTAAAATGGCAAAAGCAAAAAACAGAATATTAAAAAACAGGGAGAATCCGCCCAGCAGAACCCACCTAGATACAGTACTGTCAATCGGAGAGCAGAGGACATTGTGTCAAAAGAAACACCAAATATCGTAGAATTGCTAAGACAAACCTCCCCCTAGCCTGCAGAAACAGTGGTCGGGATTGCGGGGCACATGTACACATACACTCTGGTACTGACCAAAACTGAAACATTATTGGAATGATGCATTCCAAGCTGTCAGGGAAACAAGTGCATATTGACATCCCACATCTCCCTGTTGGGAATGACACCTGAAGGGGTAGAAGGAAGGAGTCAATTATTTACTGCAAATTCTGTTTACAGCAGCAGTGAAATGTATTACAATGAACAGGCTGAAGCAGTGTAGGGTAGGGTAAGGACCTGAAAACCACTGGGTAGGGTAGGCTAAGTTAGGGTAAACCAAGTTCAGCTAAGCAAAGGCAGCTGACTGTGTTGTGTGTTCATGACTGGCCTAAAGAAGACCACAAAAGTTTGTCAGGCTCAATAAACAGTTTTTATTCTGTCAAGTGTTTCGAGTCTTGCGTGTACTGTGTGAGTTGGCAACAGCTGACAGAGGTGGCAGACTGTTGGTTTTGGATGGAAAAAGCATCACACTGCTATGCCACTAATAGGTCAGAGAAAAATAAAATCACAAACAGGTGAGCAGAGTCTCTTTTTTTATGATCCCCTGCAGCTGATAATAAATCCAGTATTGACACAGTCACACTTAATATACATTGCAGGCATCAAATATTAGGAGTTTTTGTACTAAACATCTGGCACATATCTAGTGTCTGTATATTTTGATGGCCAACAGCAGGAATTTCATACATACTAACATCAATAATATATGATTAATATGTGGCATTAGGGGTGTGTCAATGCTTCACTGCTCATTTCTCACTACCTGCAACCAAAAGCGCTACCTGTGCTATTATATACTGTTTTCCAGGAAGTTATCATTTAAAAACTATCATGACATTTTATCTCCTGCACCAGAGCTACACATATTAAGCGTCACTTACACAGCAGACTCTAATCACACACTCTCATGGTACAGTCACCGTTTCCACATACTAAAAACTGGATGTTGATTTCAATCATAAATGAAAACAGAGTATAGTGCAGAATCTACATCTGTGTTTTTGGATATTCTATCCATCCAAAATGAAAACATTTGTATTTTTCCATGTGGAGGGGGAAAGGGAGCTGGGTAGGAGCCATACAGTGTGCAAGCTGTGTCATCGAAGATAAAATATTCCTGTAATACAACAAACGTGCAAAATCACATTACTTGCTTGCTCACAGAGCTGGAAGGAAAACAACCTGCTGTAGTTGATGCCAAACATAGAACCATCCAGTGAGTGTCAGAGCAGGACACGTCGTAGAATATTTAGTGAGGGAAAATATGCTGACGTGATTCATTTGACATTCATCATGATGGATATTAATGATTCAGGTTTTGTGAATTCAGCCATACATTAAAGTCCAGGTGGAATGAAAAATGTAACCCTTTAAGATTGCATCCTTATTTATATTCAAATAAAAAATTCACTTCTTTGTATTTTTATATTAAAATCCAATAATTTTGCCTTCCTGTAAAAGAATATATAACACGTGCTTATGTAAGCATATACTAACCAATAATATCATGCCATTCACCTGTCAATCAATCAAACTTCAACTTTTTGAGCCACATAGAGCAAAGATTCATTTGTTAGCTAAAACAGCAATAACACCACCTCAGTACTTTATTCCCTGTCTTCAAACTGTCCTCAGTCGCCATCAGATGCTGCATTCAGTCCCAGTCTGACCGAGCTGTTCACTGGGAGCTCCCTGTCCAGCAGAGTCAGCTAATGGGTCCACTACAGCTGCTGGTTGGGGGGGCATAGCTAACACACAGCACTAACGTCCACTTGCCTGTTTTTACAGGAAATGTGTAAATATGCAGAAGCAAAAAGCACACTGCTGTTTCACCTGGACTTTAAATGGGTACTCCACTGATTTACACGTAAATGTCAGTTAACTGACAGATTACTGAGCCCGCAAATTCAGTTGTATTTCTTGTCCTTCTCAACTAATCAACAACTACTAGTTGTGGTTAATACGATTTTAGCCAGCATTACCAGAACTGTAGTTACTGCATAAAACACCAATGCCTGTTTTACAGTCCTGCATCATTCAGATGTGGTGGCCACGAAAACTTGCGAGGAATGCGAAAGGCCCTACGTAGAGCCAGTGTTTGGTTTGTTCGTTCTGGGCTACTGTAGAAACATGGCGGTTCAACATTCAAATAACCCTAACCCTCAAGCTGCCTTTTTTTTTAGTCAGTGGTCCAACTCGACCTATGTTAGTGAAAGTGCTGTTTTTAATTAGATATGAAAGCATAAAGCATGCATTTCAGATGAACGAGATGTATACCCTTTAAATACCATGAAAATAGAAAACGTTCACCATGTTGCTGCTATTAAATTGTATGTAGGCATACGCACCTGTAGGTTATTGTAAACAGAAATTGTGATTGGTTCAATAGATCCTCCCAAACACTACATACACTACACACTGGACCTGTGCTTTATTTCCCAACTCTGCCTTTTAGGTTCCATTCCAATAACCTTTCCAGTGAGCCAACATGCAATTAGTATCATAGGTATCACCGGTGTTTACCTTACTATTTCAGGTCAAAAAGGTCTGTTGTGACAATACTAGTTTACAATTATCCACAAGCTGGCCTCACCTTTAGATCATTGAGCTGCTCAGTAAAGTCCTCCTTCTTGCTGACAGTGGAGAAGGAGCGCAGTGCACCTGTGAGCCGTGGAGGAGACATTGTTCTCTGTGCTCATCCACTGGTTCTCCAGCTTATTCCTGTGACAGACAGACAGACAGACAGACAGACAGACAGACAGAAACAGTAAACTGAAATGATGATGATGGCAGTGTGGTTTCTAGCCTATCTATGGACACAGCGCATGTCTATCTTAATACCCGCTGAACTCCACACAGGAAAGCTGTGAGTTTTAAGTTGCCTTTACAAACTACAATCACACACACACAAGGTAGGACATTATAAGCAAATGTAACACACCGTTATGGAGCTGTGGTGTATTCGGCACTGAACCCCAATAAAACACCTAACAGCAGTTAAATATTGGACTCTAATAGCTGTGTGTGCAGAGGAGTAGCATTGTGTTGGTTGGAGAGTAACCGTGATACCTTGAATAAACATCAGATTATTAGCGTAAATACGGCTGCTTGGTGCCGAATTAAAGCACACATACTATCGACTCACCCGAACTCCGAAATGATCTTCTAAAACGAACACGTTGCTAAAGTTGTGCTGATATTACGTCAGGTGTTTTTAACGACCTAACAATGTCTCTACGGACAGGAGAACAGAGCTACAGCTCGCGCCAGAGTCAATGAACTATTATGTATTATTTGTAACGTTAAACTAAAGTTCTCTGACGCCATGTTCACCAACTTTTACATATTATCACGAAAGATGCTCACTAACGTTGTGTCTGTGCTGCTAGCTAACATTAGCTGTCAGCTTGGTTGCCACTTCCCTAGCCGCATTAGCTTTATCACTGTGAAGACCTGTTAGCATGAACGTACCGCGACAAATTAGAAGTGAAATAAACTCTGTAAAAGTTTCTAACGTTATTTCAATAAGTACCTTCCAAAGAATCAACTGTCAGCGTGTGAGTACACTACCGGCAGATGTCAACAGGAATTGCTTCTACGCTATGAATTGTGGGTGCTGTAGTTTTTAGCGCAAATACTTGATGAAAGGTATGGCTGAAATGACTACATTACCCATTTACACAGAGTAGCGCTGCATCACACAGGGTTCGCCTTTACATTACACCGGCATACACCAAAACCCATGCAGGCGGAGTCGGTACTGGAATTAAAACGGGGTCCGCCGCTGCTTGCTACAGTTATCCGAATAAGTCTGCTCCAGTGCGGTGGAGTTGTTCGCTGCCCCCAAGGTCCTTTCGCTCCATCCATGAGAGGGCTAGCTCCACCCATTAGCCCGAACGTCCCGGTATTAATAACGAGCGCAACCATAAAAGCTATGGCTTCATTAAAAAACGAAACTTTTCGTTTCCTCTACTGAGACATTGAATTGAAACACTGCATGCACATAGAAAAGAGACAGCCAACGACACCATACTACTGTGAGATAAAAATCACTGTAAGTTTCTACATTTATCTACATATGTTTTTCATTCTTTTTTTTTTTTTTACATATCTCTATCCTGCAGTTAATATGATACAGGCCCACGTAGGGCGCCCTTCCTCTGGAGAAAACCTGAATTGCACTAATGGGTGCCCTTTAAGAAGGAGCCATAACCTACACTATACTCTCTAAATATTACCCTCATGAAAAATTCCAAGTTGGCAAATGCAAACATTCTTTGTATGGCTCGTTGTATTGGCCCTCTGAAGGTATTTCAGCTTGTAAAAGTTAGTGGGTGACTTCTAACCCTAACAAATATAAATCTCATTAATTAAGACAGAAAACAAGTTTCAGTCACAAGGTAGGAGCAGTAGTCACTTTCTACTTTACAGACTGCCTTACATGTTAGAAACAGTTCTCAAACACTTTCACCATAAATGCAGCACTACTTTTGGATGTTGGTGTCCTTTTTATCTGCCCTTCAGACAGAGTCCACTTAGTACATCACCCCTCATGTCCACACTAATGCTGGCAGAACTGGTTTCAGGTTCCATGCCCCTTTTAAAAGGAATGAACTGCCCTCAAACTTGAGTGTTGTATTCCAGTTTGAGGTTATAAAGCTTCATTATTTGATGTTCTTTTGTGATTTTTCCAACCGTTTTAATTAATTCCTTGTTCAGTGTGTTGTTTGTTTCTGCTTGTGGATTGGGCTTTTGTGAATGTTTCTTGTTTCTCTTTGAAATTATATCTTAATCTCAATGAGACTGCTTGATTAATTAAAGGTCCTATTACTTTGTTTTTATTAAATTCACGCTGAATAATAAATACATATCTTAGGAGAAAATAATACAGGTAGACTGTAATGGAAGAGAGCAAATGAATAACTGTAGAGAATGTGGAATAAAACGTAGCACTATAACAATTTATGGAATTTAGAATTATGGTTTTATTTTCTGTATTGCCATCATCATGGTGGCAGTGTCTGCAGGTTGGCCCTACCTGTCTCAGCACATTCACACTGAGGCTGATAATCAGATGCAAACTGCACCACCCTGCTCTGTAAAACTGCTGACATCCAATATGAATGAGATATTGAAACATTCATGAAAAACATTTATGCACCATTATCACATATGACTGACTGAAGAACTGAGTTTATTTAAAACAGACTGACAAGTGTGATCCACATTAACATGCTGACATGAATAAAATGTATGAGAATTTGTTTCCCCAGTGGTATAAATAAACTTGATTCCTAAAGCTGATTTATTAGTTTTGTAGAGATAGTAGACAGACCAGTCTATAGTTTATTTTTGTTGTACATATTTCAGTCTCATTATTTCATTCTTAATCATTATTCGATATCAACAACATTACACCAGGCCCAAATTTCCACAGCAGCGCGTTGAGCTGAATGCAGAATGTGTGCTAACTTGCTCGTAGTGACAATGCTATCATGCTGATGTTTAGCAGGTATAGTGTTTTTGTTGTTCACCTTTTCAATTTAGCATGTTAGCATGCTAACATTAGCACTAAACATATAGTATAGCTGAGACTGCTGGGAATGTCATTAGTTTTGTAAATTACACTTGATAATAATAATAATAATAATGATAAATGTGTGGAATCAGAAATGTTCATTTTGCCATGTGTAGCCACGTGTCTTGACAGTTTCCACAGCAATTTAGTTTTTTCTAACAGAAAAAACTTAACATACTACATATAGTTGGAAAAGTCAAAGGATCAACTAAATCATTAGGCTTCACATGGGGACCACAAAAAACATAACAGAACCAAGGGACAAATGGAAACAGAAAGGACAATGAATCACTCTAAATATATAAGTGACACATTCATGCTCCCCAGAGGAGGAACCTTTCCAATTTTACACTCCATAAGCTTTCCTCTAACCCCCTCTTCAGAACATTCATGTGATAAAAACACTGAAAATTAATTGGCTGCCATTTTAATTATCAGTTAATTATATATATATATGTATATATATATATAACATGTTTTTATCATAAATCGGCTATTTTGACAGGTGATGTAATAATTTGCTTTAGTGGAAGAAAACGGAGTGAATTTTAACTTGGTGGTAACGTTTGTATAAAGATGCATTTAAGTGACTTTATTCAGACAAATTCGATAAACACATAAATAAATAAATAAATAAATAAATAAATATGTTTGATAAGGACAAATGCTGCATATGAGTGTAACTTTAATTTTCTGAATGGAATTGGTACAATCAGCCTAATTTACCCAAGTTACCTTAACAATACATACTTGAATTACTTCTACTCAAATCAAATAAAAACCTTTCATGCTTAAATTGTTTGAGTTAATAAACTATTGGCAATCGTTTCCTAGGTTTGAGTTGAACTAATCCTCAGCTTTTATAGTGTACTTCAGTCATAATATAACAACTGTATCCCATATTATAAATGAAACCTTCACATCTTGAAATGTGACACAGCAGCATATACTTTATAATGCATTTCAAGACTAAAACATACAAATTCTGCTGATTTGAGAAAAGAGGCAGTGGTTCACAAGATTAATGAGCGCAGGTAATCCAATTGTATCCCCGGCTCCTCCTGTCCTCCATGTTCAAGTGTCCTTGGGTAAGACACTTATAGCTCCTGAAGGGCAGGCATTGCATGGTAGCCTGCTCCGATCAGTGTGTGAGAATGTGAATGGCACTGCTCCCTGGCGTGGCACTTTTCAAATCAGAGGCTGCAGATTTATCATGCGTCCTGCTGCCTTCAGGTTGGCTGCAGAGATTTAATGGACTGAAAGAGAGACTTTTCATACAGGATAAAGCAGCTGTGGACCACAGGTACTGTAAAAATCACTCCTGCTTTGTCCACATTAAACACTTTAAATACTGATTTAGCATCAGATAGTGAATAGATTGCAATAACTGAACATTGCTGGCTTCTGTATTTGAGGACCTGGGAATAATAATGGGCTGTGAAGTGTGTAGGAGAATCTTCAGTGGCCACAAAACTTCTATCTACAGCCACTACTGCTAGTGACAACAGAGCCTCCTAAATGTTACACACTGGATCTTTAAATTAAATGTGGTTATTTCCATTTTCACGTTATTCTGTTGTTGCTGCATATTTGTTTGCTCTTGTTGACAGACTCATTAGGTTGGCTGCAGATTGATGTCAGAAACAGATGTAGTTATGAAATGTGTAAATCCAATCTCAACTATCATAACTTACTTTGTGCTGCTTCATCAGAAACACGTTCTCCTTACCAACTTGTCAAATCCTGACCAGCAGCCCTCTGCTTCAAAATATGATGCTGTAGGTGCACCTATATTATTTCTGGAGACACATGGCTCTGTAGTCAAGTTAGCAAGAACACATGTGTAACATCTGGTTAGACTTTCAAAATAAAGCTTGCATGGTTAATCTTGTGAAATGGTCGCAGTTTATTATGTTTACGAAAACACTGGCTCTTTTTGCGTGTCATCATCCATGAATCATCCATCCACACTGATATTTATGCAACCATTTCACCTGACTTTAACTGCACTCGAGGGATACCTACAGTGTCATATTTTGAAGCAGAGGAGGGCCACCAACCAAGTGGTAATATTTGACGACTAGAAAGTGCGTCATAAGAATGAACCTTCTGCCTGTTTACACCTCTCATCCCACCTGTGCACCGTACGCTTCGCACTGGACACCACAATATCACGCAGACGGGCAGAGCCAATTTCAAGGTCAGGATACCAAACTGTTGGAGCGCTGTCTGTGCTGGTCATTGCACCACCATATACCATAAACCATCTCTTGCGTCTAGTAGCAGGCAGAATATCATGTTTCCAAAATGATGACCTCTTTTGATGATAATGACCCCGTGACCTTTCCTCTACCACCACCACCATGAGGACAAACAACTTTATTTTTGTCATGTCTTTATTTTCAGTCAGATGAAAAGTTGATATTGTTCTATGCACAACTGTATTTTGCCACACAGTGAAGTTAAAGCAGCCTGCCACATGCATTCACTCAGACACCCTCATTGTAATTTATAACTCACCTACTGTAACTTCAACCTGTGAAGGAGGTATCTCATCTGCTCCCTCTGAGCTTTATTCCTCTGTGTGGTTTGTCCTCTTGGCCAGACCACGCCCCCAAATCACCCCAACCACACACACACACACACACACACACACACACACACATACACGTTACATGCACAGTATGCATGAGTGGTGTCCAATGAACTCTGGCTATGCCGCAAGAGAGCTCTGAGAGAACAGTGTGAGAGAGAGAATGATTCACTCATTTTGTGTGTGTCTCTCTCTCTTCATCTATCCCTTACACACACACACACACACACACACACACACACACACACACACAACACACACACACACATAAGCACACCAAATAGTAACAA